TGGACTTTTGGGATTTTCAGTCCCAGAGAAAAAAACAACAAACGACGACGGGGCTCCCCAGGAATGGAGGATTGAAAATCCCCAAAATCCCAAGCATCCCAATGAAATCACAGGGGTTCAGGGATTCTTGACCCAGAAATCCCAAACATCCCAATGAAATAACAATATTTGGTGCCCCCAGGCTTCGCAAACATTGTGATTTCACAGGGATCGCCGCTCCCTCGCATCTCTCCTCTCTCTCTCTCTCTCTCTCTGTCTGTGTCCCCCTCCGTCTCTGTCTCCCCCCTTTTCCTCCTCCTCCCCCTCCTCTTTCTATAAGCAGAGAGAAAGTGTGTAAGAGGGAAAGAGAGCGAGAGAGAGAGAGAGAATTCTCTCTCGCTCTCCCTCTTTCTCTCTCACTCTCTCTCTTCCTCTGTCCCCCTCCGTTTCTGTCTCCCCCCTCCTTTTCCTCTTCCTCCTCCTCCTCCTCCTCCTGTGAACCAGAGAGAGGTACAGATAGAGAGAGGGAGAAAGAGAGAGAGAGAGAGAGAAAGTGAACCGTTCAACGACCGATGCAAAATGAATGGTTGCTGGGGGGGGGGGCTGCGCATATTTATTTATATATATATATAGATATACATATATATATGTATGTATACAAGACTGCAGTGGCGCTTCGCGCCATGCACCTTGGTCCCTGAAGTTTGGCATGCAGGCGGAATGGCAGCAAGGTCAAGCTGGCAATTTAGCGATAACTCCTGATTTCCTTTTCTGGCATTGCCGCTATAATAATGTCATTCGTTATCCTTCCGCCATGCTTATTGTTCCTGATGTTCGACATACCCTGCGCATTCTCCCCATCCTCCTCAGCTCTTTTTTGCGGAGGCTCCTCCTTGGAGAGCCTCTAGGGGCCTCACAAAAGTTGTTTCAGGCTTTCTTAATGCCTTGTGGAGGCCTCCTGGGCGTATTCTGGGGGCCTCTGGGGGCTTCCTCGGGCCACCCTGCCTCCAACCGCCGTCTCCCTGAACGACCGAAACACGATTTGGAATTCTTCGGAGGGTTTCTTTGGGCCATCTTGGGCCGCCATGGGGCTCTCTGAGGGCCATCTTGGACCCGTGTTCTGCCGTTTTGGGGTTCTCTTGGACTGCCTGGAAGCCATTTCGGATGGTTGTGGGGCGATTCGGGAGCCTCCCAGGCGGCTTCGGACTCCCAGAAGACCGCCGTTTTGGAGCGTCGGGAAGCCGAAAAGAGGAGAACCCCAAAATTCACCAAAAACTTTCAGAAAATCAATGATTTGTGCCTCGGGGGGCCTTCTTGGAAATGCTTTTTGGAGCCCTCTTTGGGGCCGTCCTGGAGGCCTCTTGGGCCATCTTGAGGTCACGTCGGTCACTCTTGGAGCGCTCTTGTGCTGTCTTGGGGGTCTCTGGGACGTCTCCGATGACCCCCCTGATCGCCCTAAGTGTGCTGGGAAGGCTTGGCAAAACGCCTTGCGAGGCCCGGTGGCCGCTTCGAGCCCCGTCCGGAGGGTCCCAAAACCCCAGATCCCAGGAGTCTGTTTTTTTTTGGGGGGGGGTGACGGGTCCCGGGAGTCCGGTTTTTTTGGGGGGGGTGATGGGTTTGCCCCCCGCCCGAGTTTATAAAAATATAGGAAGAGGAATCCATATATATGTATGTATGTATGTATGTATGTATGTATGTGTGTGTGTATGTATGTATGTATGTATGTATGTATGTATGTATGTATGTATGTATGTATGTATGTGATGTATGTGATGTATGTGTGTGTATGTATGTATGTATGTATGTATGTATGTATGTATGTATGTATGTATGTATGTATGTATGTATATATGTATATATAGATATGTATATATGTGTATAGATATCTAGAGGCAGAGTTGTTGCGGCCCCTGGGGGGCATCCTGGGCCCCGGGAGCGTTATCGAGATCGGCTGGAGACGACACGCTGGTCAACGGGAAGGGGATTCCAGAGCCTGCGCTTCTCAGGACCCTCCTGGTCCTTCTCCTCCTGCTGTTGCTGCTCCTTCTCCTCCTCCTCCTCCTCCTCCTCCTCCTCCTCAACCTCCTCCTCCTCCTCAGCCTCCTCCTCCTCCTTTTTTCTCCTCCTCCTCCTCCTCCTCCTCCACCCTCAACTCTCCACCCTCCACCCTCCTCCCCTTCCTCCTCCCCCTCCTCCTCCTCCTCCTCCTCCTCCTCCTCCTCGTCCTCCTCCTCCTCATCACCGCGTGTGTCCCCTCATGCCGCATGCCAAGTCCCCTCAACCGAGAGTCACTGAAACGGCGTACACAAATACATGTCACCTTTGCGTCAGAAGGACCGAAACAGCTTTGCGCAGTTACGGTGGGGGTCACGATGGGGGGCACCATGGTGGGATCGGGGTAGGGATAGCGCGCGAGGCAGTCGTAGGGACAGGGGTGAATGGGTAGGGACACAAGTATTAAAATTATTCCGGCAAAGCAACCTAACAGCGATGTGTATAAGCATATCTGGAAGCATTCCCCTTAAGATTCAGGTGAGAATCCAGTTGTAGAATTCTGTTGTTCTCGTAGTCGCAGTCGCATTCGCATTCGCAATGACAGTCGCAGTGGCAACGGCCTTAGGATCCAATGGAATCCTAAGGATTCCTAGGGATTCCTAAGGCATCCTTAGGCATCCTTAGGAATCCACAGGAATCCTTAGGATACCTCAGGAATCCTTAGCAATCCTGATTCCTAGGGATTCCTAAGGATTTCTAGGGGATCCAAAGGATTCCGAAGGATTCGCCTGCCTCGGCCTCAGCCTCAGCCTGCCTCAGCCTCAGCCTGCCTCAGCCTCAGCCTCAGCCTGTCTCAGCCTCAGCCTGCCTCAACATCAGCCTCAGCCTCAGCCTCAGCCTGCCTCGGCTTGCCTCAGCCTCAGCCTGCCTCGGCCTCAGCCTCAGCCTCAGCCTGCCTCAGCCTCAGCGTCAGCCTCTCAGCCTCAGCCTGCATCAGCCTCAGCCTCAGCGTCAGCCACTGCCTCAGCCTCAGCCTCAGCCTGCCTCAGCCTCAGCCTGCATCAGTCTCAGCCCCAGCCTGCCTCAGCCGCAGCTTGCCTCAGCCTCAGCCACTGCCTCAGCCTCAGCCTCAGCCTCAGCCTGCCTCAGCTTCAGCCTCAGCCTGCCTCAGCTTGCCTCAGCCTTAGCCTCAGCCTCAGCCTGCCTCAGCCTCAGTCTCAGCCTGCCTCAGCCTCAGCCTGCCTCAGCCTCAGCCTCAGCCTGCCTCGGCCTCAGCCTGCCTCGGCCTCAGCCTGCGTCAGCCTCAGCCTCAGCCTGCCTCAGCCTCAGCCTGCCGCAGCCTCAGCCTCAGCCTGCTTCGGCGTGCCTCAGCCTCAGCCTCAGCCTGCCTCGGCCTCAGCCTGTCTCGGCCTCAGCCTGCCTCAGCTCGGGCATTCAAAATATGGCACAGGACTTGTGTTCTGGGAACACGAAGATCACGAAGTGGCCCAAGGTTGGCTCCGGGCAATCAACATATGGTACAGGAATGGTGTTCTGGGGAGATTACGAAGTGGCCTACAGTTGGCTCCGGGCATTCAACATGTGGCCTGGGAATGGCGTTCTGGGAACACGGAGAGCACGAAGTGGCCTACAGTTGACTCCGGGCATTCAATATGTGTCCTGGGAATGGTGTTCTGGGAACACGAAGAGCACGAAGTGGCCTACAGCTGGCTCCGGGCATTCGAAATGTGGCCTGGGAGCGGTGTTCTGGGAGGACGATGAAAACGAAGTGGCCTACAGTTGGTTCCGGGCATTCATAATGTGGCCTGGGAGTGGTGTTCTGGGAACACGAAGGACACGAAGTGGCCTACAGTTGGTTCCTGGCGTTCAAAGTGTGGCCTGGGAGTTGTGTTTTGGGAATGGTTTCCTAAGGATTCCCAAGAATTCCGAAGGATTCCTAAGGATTCCTGGGCTGGCGGATCCGTCGGGTTCTTTGTCCGGTTCCCGCCCAGACCCCCCTGGGGCGTCAAGATGCTCTCTTTTGACACCACTAGAAACCTATCAGCAAAAGCTGTTAGGTAAAGATAGGGTTAGAGATACGGATCGGGATGGGGATCAGGATGTAGGACCCGGGTGCAATTGATTGGGATAGGGGTAGAGGCATGGGGATAAGGATAGGGACGGGACGGCAACGGGAGGCCACGCGAGGCGAGGCTACGGGAGGCCACGGGCGGCAGCGGGAGGCCTTTGGAGGCAACGGGAGGGGGACGGGACGCCACGGGAGGCATCGGGAGGCCGCGCGAGGCAATGGCGCCTGACCGGCTCCAGATCCCGCAGCGCCCAGGGGCGCCTCCGGCACACGGAGAGGGGCTGTGCAGCGCCGGCCCGAGAAGCCCTCGCGGCGGCGTCGTCGTCGTCGTCCTCGTCGTCCTCGTCGTCGTCGTTGTAGTCGTCGTCGTCGTCGTCGTCGTCGTCGTCGTCGTCGTCGTCGTCGTCGTTGTCGCCGTCGTCCTCGTCGTCGTCGTCGTCGTCGTCGTTCGCGTTCGCCCCGCTTCGGAATCCCTGGGGCCCCGCGGCTCGGGGGGCACCAGGACGGGGCCCGAGGGGTCCCGTGGTGGTCTGCCTCTCGGCGCTGCAGCGTGCGAGCTGTCTCGGGGGCGAGGTCGGGGCTCCCGGGGCCCACGTCGTGCAGAAGCAGGGCGTCGGAGGTCTGGGAGGGGGGGCCGCGGCAGGGGGCCCCGCGAGAACTCCACGGTCCGCCCGCCTCGCAAGGCCAAGCAAGCGTCAGGGTCGGCGAGTGCGTGGCTGTGCGGGCCGTGTGCTTGTGACTTTTCTGTGGGGGTGCGGGTGGGGGGGGCCCATTCGGCCGATCCTGGCCTTCCCAGCCAGTTTTGGCCGCAGAAGGCATGTATGCATCACCCGCGTGCCTGGGCAGGGCCATCCGTTGGCCCCAGGGTGGTGCATAGACCCGCTTGGCGGTGGTGGTGTGTAGCAGCCCTCTGCGTGAGTGCACGACTTGGGTGGCCCACCAACCGCGGGCCGATCAGAAAGACGTGGAGGACGCGGGCCCCCCGGAGTACGACGACTTCGCCTGGCAGCCGCTGTTCGAGCAGGCGTTGCCCGTGGACGTGCCGTGGACCCGGCTGCCCGAGCTAGAGAGCGGAGTCAAGGTCATGTCGCTGCAGGCGCCGGCCGGCGGCGCGCGCGAGGTCGTCAGCGTGGAGCCGTGGGTGCTTCGACGGCTCGCGGAGCGGGCCATCGGCGACGTCGAGCATTACCTGCGGCCCGGTCACTTGGCGCAGCTGGCCAAGATCGTGTCCGACCCCGAGGCGTCCGACAACGACAAGTTCACCGCCCAGAACTTGTTGCAGAACGCCGTGATCGCTGCAAGGGGTGTCCTGCCAGGTTGTCAGGATACTGGTACTGCGATCATTTTGGGCAAGAAGGGTCAGTTCGTCTGGACGGACGAAGAAGACGAGAAACATTTGTCCCATGGCGTTTACGATGCATACACCAAGCGTAATCTGCGGTACTCGCAGGTCTCGCCCGTCTCCATGTTTGCAGAGAAGAACACAAAGTGTAATTTGCCTGCCCAGCTCGACTTATACGCCGTGAAGGGAAACGAGTACAAGTTCATGTTCATGGCAAAGGGCGGTGGCTCTGCCAACAAGACCTACCTGTATCAGCAGACGAAGGCGCTGCTAAACCCAAAGAAGTTGGAGGAGTTCATCGCTGAGAAGGTGGTCACCCTCGGCACTTCGGCCTGCCCGCCGTACCACCTGGCCATCGTGATCGGCGGCCTCTCGGCGGAGCTGTGCCTCAAGACGGTGAAGCTCGCGTCTGCGCGCTATCTTGACGATTTGCCCACCACTGGCAACGAGCACGGGCGCGCATACCGTGACATCAAGTGGGAGGAGAAGGTTCTGACGATGTGCCATGGACTTGGCATTGGGGCTCAATTCGGCGGCAAGTACTTCGTGCACGACGTGAGAGTGGTCCGCTTGCCGCGCCACGGTGCGTCGTGTCCAGTGGGCATCGGTGTGTCCTGCAGCGCGGATAGGCAGGTCCTGGCCAAGATCACGGACCACGGCGTCTTCATCGAGGAGCTGGAGAAGAACCCGGGGCGCTTCCTCACCAGCGAACCCTCGGCTGGACTTTCGACCTCCGCGGAGTCGGTGAGCATCAGCTTGAATCAACCGATGCAGGGCATCCTCGGTGTCCTCACACGGTTCCCGATCAAGACCCGATTGTCACTGACTGGTCCCATTATTGTCGCGCGAGATATCGCGCACGCGAAGTTGGCCGAGCGCCTCGAGACACAAGGGATCTTGCCCGACTACATGGCGGCTCACGTGATCTACTACGCAGGCCCAGCAAAGACGCCAGCGGGGTACGCGAGTGGCAGCTTCGGCCCCACCACCGCAGGCCGCATGGACACATACGTGCCCCTGTTCCAGGAGCGAGGCTACTCGATGGTCACGCTGGCCAAAGGCAACCGCGCCAAAGGCGTCACGGATTCTTGCCATAAGCATGGCGGATTCTACCTTGGGAGTGTCGGGGGCGCAGCGGCCAATCTCGCGGAGAACGCGATCAAGAAGGTAGAGGTTGTGGAGTACGAAGAGTTGGGCATGGAGGCGGTGTGGCGCATCGAGGTCGAGGATTTCCCTGCTTTCATTGTCGTGGACGACAAAGGCAACGACTTCTTCGCCGAATGGAAGATGTGACTGCGGCACCAGCGGGGCCGGCCTGCACTGGCCGCGAATGGAGTTCCGGCTCACTCTGTCCCACGCGCAGACAGATGGCATTGCATTTATGGAGGGCAAGCGGGTGCACGCAGGAGTTCGTGTTTCATAGGGGCACCGCGATTGAAGTCCGGGCCCTACTCAATGTGTTTAAAGATTCCGCCTGCCAACACCGCGCGGTGTTCCCTTTATGCAGTTTCATGGTTTCTGATATCTCGTGGCCTTCGGGTCATACCGCCACAGTGCCTGGTGCGTGGACAGGGACTCTCTTCTCTTAGAAGTCTCTTGGGAGGCCTCTTTGGGGCATCCTAGAAGCTTCTTGGCGCCCTCTAGGGGGCCTCTTAGGGGCATTTGGGGGCTTCCTGGTATCCTGGCGACCTGCTGGGGGCTTCCTGGGGGCCTTTTGGGACCACATCGGAGGCAAGGACTTGCCTCATGTTCGGCTCGTGCTCCTCATCCTAAGCCCCTCTTGGAGCCGTCTTGGGGCCCTCTTGGGGACCTGGAGCGCCGTCCTGGAAGTCAGACAAAAACTAATTGCGTGGTTGGAGCGTCCTTTAAAATCCTCGGGGCCATAGCGCGTTATGCCTCCCCCCGCTCCCCCCCCCAAAACGTAACGCCCCCCCCCCCCTCTCCCACCGTTGTGCGCCTGCGGCACTGCCATTCTGACGCCCCCCCCTCCCGTAGAGCGCCTCCGGCACTGCCATTCTGATGCTCGCACTGTGGTGTTCGCAGGTTTCTTTAACGTTCACGGCCTAGCTTGGCCTTGACAGGCTCGTTGCCCGTGCTGGCAGATATGGTGCTGCGCTCGCAGGCTATTGTCGCAAATGCATGGTCCGGAAGTGTTTGTGCACGCGCGTGGGGTTCAATCGGTACTCTGGTGCTGGCAGGGCCGCGAGAGTTGCGGTAGCGGCGTTGGTAGCAGAAGTCGTGGCAGCGGTCGCAGCAATAACAGTGAGATGAGGAGGAAGGAGAGGAGGTTGAGGAGGAGTTGGAGGGGGGAACGGGGCGTCCTTGTAATCGTCGTCGTGGTTGTCTTGTGGTCGTGGTGATCGTTGTTGTGTTCGTCGTACTTGCTGCCGTCGTCGTCGTCGAAATCGCCATGGCTGTCGTTTTAGTTTTGGTCGTAGCGATAGTTGTCGTCGGCGTGTGGTCGTCGTTGTGAGCGTCGTCGTGGGAGTCGCAGTCGTCGCAGTATTCGTAATCGTTGCGATCATCGTCGTAGTCGTCGTGATCGTCGTCGCGGTAGTCATCGTGGTCGTCGTCGTGAGGTCGTCGGTATCAGATCGTAGTAGTCGTCCTGGTTGGCGTTGGCTTCTGGGGTGTGGTCGTCGTTGATGTCCCGATCGTCGTCGTCGTGGTTATCGATCGTGGGTGGCTGCATTCTTAAACGTCTCGCGCGCACGTCCTGAGGGTCAAATAAAAATGGCATAAGCATCACTTCTTGGAGTTCATTTGTATTTCTGAGATCGGCGCTGGGTTCCCCTGGCGGCGCCTCCGGCGCCGCCCCTAGGGGGGGGTCGAGACCCCTGCTGAACCCCCTCAGGACCTCTCCCACCCCTGGCGGGACAGTGATCAAAGGGAAGCGGCTTCCTTTCGATTCGATTATGACCTGGTTCGATTCACTTCGGGCTGGCGAGCTGAGATACCCCCAGGTGGCCACAGGGAACGGGGTGAAGTCTTCGAATGGAAACATGTCTCCCACCCCAGCACCACCCATCACAAGGTCAGCGGGACTCAGGGATTCTTGCGAGCGCCCGAGAGAGCGTCCGTGATTGCGGCTTCTTGGCCTCGCAAAAGAGGGTTCACAGTAAGTACTCAGTCCAGAACTCGATGGGACCATTCAGGCACGGTGGCGGATTTGCACAGTGACGATGGCTCGTCGAACCTAGTCGGACATGCATGCACAAACACATTTACAAAGGTGGCGCTTTAACTCACCTGAACACATGTTCGTTTCAAGAGCTGCGCATCGGAGTGCTTGATCACACCAGGGAGCACGGAGAGCGGCATTACAGTGGCCGTGATCGAACACATGCTTGAGGCCGTTGTTCCAGTCATCCTCACCCTTACTATTTGTTGTCATCAACTCTGACAGCATTGAATATACCGTTTGGGCGGACGCCAGTCTCGAGCCCGATCGACAATTTTTATTACATGTGTTCTGATATGGGCACCAGGCTGCAGGGACGCTTTCGAGCATGCATCGTTTGCGCGTCCTGTCGAAGCTGGCAGCTCGATCGGGAACATGATTGTTTCAAGGGGGCAACGGAGTAGCTCATCGCACCCGTGAACTTGCAGGTGTTATTTTGTGCTAGTAGGGCGGCAGCCGGGTTTTTACCTAACAGCGAAGACTGATGGGTTTCTAGTGGTGTCAAAAGAGATCATCTGATGACTCAGAAGGGAGGTCTGGGCGGCATCCGGACAGCGAGGGCCGGGCTCAGGGCCGGGCTCGTTTTAAGCAAACAGTCACACACTTCGTGCTCTTCGACCACCCAGAACTCCATTCCCGGGCCACATTTTGAATGCCCGGAGCCAACTGTAGCCCACTTCGTGCTCTTCGACTTCCCGGAACTCCATTCCCGGGCCACATTTTGAATGCACGGAGCCAACTGTAGGCCACTTCGTGCTCTTCGACTTCCCGGAACTCCATTCCCGGGCCACATTTTGGATGCCCGGAGCCAACTGTAGGCCACTTCGTGCTCTTCGACTTCCCAGAACTCCATTCCCGGGCCACATTTTGAATGCCCGGAGCCAACTGTAGGCCACTTCGTGCTCTTCGAGTTCCCAGAACTCCATTCCTGGGCATGATTTTGAATGCCCGGAGCCAACTGTAGGCCACTTCGTGTTCTTCTAGTTCCCAGAATTCCATCCTGGGCCACATTTTGAATGCTGAGGCAGGCTGATGCTGCGGCCGAGGCAGGCTGAGGCTGAGGCAGGCTGAGGCTGAGGCCGAGGCTGAAGGCAGACTGAGGCTGAGGCTGAAGCAGGCTGAGGCTGAGGCTGAGGCAGGCTGAGGCTGAGGCTGAGGCAGGCTGATGCTGAGGCAGGCTGAGGCTGAGGCTGAGGCTGATGCAGGCTGAGGCTGAGGCAGGCTGAGGCTGAGGCCGAGGCTGAAGGCAGACTGAGGCTGAGGCTGAAGCAGGCCGAGGCTGAGGCTGAGGCAGGCTGAGGCTGAGGCAGGCTGAGGCTGAGGCTGAGGCTGAGGCTGTGACTGCGACTGCCGTTGCCACTGCGACTTTCATCGCGAATGCGACTACGACTGCGAGAACAACAGAATTCTACAACTGGATTCTCATCTGAATCTTAAGGGGAATGCTTCCAGATATGCTTCTACACATCGCTGTTAGGTTGCTTTGCCGGGATAATTTTCTGTGTTACCTAACAGCGAAGATTGATAGTTTCTAGTGGTGTCAAAAGAGAGCATCTGATGACTCAGAAGGGAGGTCTGGGCGGCATCCGGACAGCGAGGGCCGGGCTCAGGGCCGGGCTCGTTTCAAGCAAACGCAGTCACACACTTCGTGCTCTCCGACCTCCCAGAACTCCATTCCCGGGCCACATTTTGAATGCCCGGAGCCAACTGTAGGCCACTTCGTGCTCTTCGACTTCCCAGAACTCCATTCCCGGGCCACATTTTGGATGCCCGGAGCCAACTGTAGGCCACTTCGTGCTCTTCGACTTCCCAGAACTCCATTCCCGGGCCACATTTTGGATGCCCGGAGCCAACTGTAGGCCACTTCGTGCTCTTCGAGTTCCCAGAACTCCATTCCCGGGCCACATTTTGAATGCCCGGAGCCAACTGTAGGCCACTTCGTGCTCTTCGAGTTCCCAGAACTCCATTCCTGGGCATGATTTTGAATGCCCGGAGCCAACTGTAGGCCACTTCGTGTTCTTCGAGTTCCCAGAACTCCATTCCCGGGCCACATTTTGAATGCTGAGGCAGGCTGAGGCTGAGGCTGAGGCTGAGGCATGCTGAGGCTGAGGCCGAGGCTGAAGGCAGACTGAGGCTGAGGCTGAAGCAGGCTGAGGCTGAGGCTGAGGCAGGCTGAGGCTGAGGCTGAGGCAGGCTGATGCTGAGGCAGGCTGAGGCTGAGGCTGAGGCTGATGCAGGCTGAGGCTGAGGCAGGCTGAGGCTGAGGCCGAGGCTGAAGGCAGACTGAGGCTGAGGCTGAAGCAGGCTGAGGCTGAGGCTGAGGCAGGCTGAGGCTGAGGCTGAGGCAGGCTGATGCTGAGGCAGGCTGAGGCTGAGGCTGAGGCTGATGCAGGCTGAGGCTGAGGCAGGCTGAGGCTGAGGCCGAGGCTGAAGGCAGACTGAGGCTGAGGCTGAAGCAGGCTGAGGCTGAGGCTGAGGCAGGCTGAGGCTGAGGCTGAGGCAGGCTGAGGCTGAGGCTGAGGCAGGCTGAGGCTGAGGCTGAGGCTGAGGCTGAGGCTGAGGCTGAGGCTGAGGCAGGCTGAGGCTGAGGCCGAGGCTGAAGGCAGACTGAGGCTGAGGCTGAAGCAGGCTGAGGCTGAGGCTGAGGCAGGCTGAGGCTGAGGCTGAGGCTGATGCTGAGGCAGGCTGAGGCTGAGGCTGAGGCTGATGCAGGCTGAGGCTGAGGCAGGCTGAGGCTGAGGCCGAGGCTGAAGGCAGACTGAGGCTGAGGCTGAAGCAGGCTGAGGCTGAGGCTGAGGCAGGCTGAGGCTGAGGCTGAGGCAGGCTGATGCTGAGGCAGGCTGAGGCTGAGGCTGAGGCTGATGCAGGCTGAGGCTGAGGCAGGCTGAGGCTGAGGCTGAGGCCGAGGCTGAAGGCAGACTGAGGCTGAGGCTGAAGCAGGTTGAGGCTGAGGCTGAGGCAGGCTGAGGCTGAGGCAGGCTGAGGCTGAGGCTGAGGCAGGCTGAGGCTGAGGCTGTGACTGCGACTGCCGTTGCCACTGCGACTGTCATCGCGAATGCGACTGCGACTGCGAGAACAGCAGAATTCTACAACTGGATTCTCATCTGAATCTTAAGGGGAATACTTCCAGATATGCTCCTACACATCGCTGTTAGGTTGCTTTGCCGGGATAATTGGTTCATTGTTCCAGTCTCCAGATCATTGCGAATTTTACGAGGATCCGATCGTGCCAAGAGTAGGCGCTTCTTTCAGGAATTGCCAGTGTCTTTGCCGTGCCATGTTGCTTGATTCCTCGATGGACTGTACGCAATCTGACGCAAGCGCTCGCAAGATAAATGTACCCTTCAATGAGACCTTGAGCAGCATACACAATATAGTTTCAGCTGCTGGTATACGGAGCGAATATTGCTGTTGACCTGCCCTGAGGGCTCATCACCTTCGTCAGAGGGAAGTCTCCGATGTCAGATTGGGCGCATGATGGACGCTGCCGTTCTGAGGGTCCCCTGGGACTGGGAGGACATGGGGCCTTAAGCATGATTGTCTGCTCTGTTTCAAATTCCCAGGTCGTGCATCCGCGTCAAGATGATGCTGCTGCTGCTGCTGCTGATGATGATGATGATGATGATGATGACGATGATGATGATGATGATGATGATGATGATGATGATGATGATGATGATGATGATGATGATGATGATGATGATGATGATGATGATGCGTGCCCGAACCAGACAAAAACAAGGCGAAGCCAGGCAAACTCTGAGGCCGTCTCACACGAAACGTCCCAAACCAGGGCAAACCAGGATTAAATGTTGAGGAAGTCTCCGGCGAAACCGTGCCCAAACCAGGCCAAACCAGAAGCCAAACCATGCACATTTGGAGGATGTCTCAGGCAGAATCGTCCAAACTAGGCTCCATCTACTCTCTTTGAAACTTCGATTTCAAGGAGTGGATCACCCCAGGGCCACCCCCGCAGGCGGAAACCTTCTTCCCAGTGGCGGCCCCGGGAAGGGGGGGGCGTAAAAAAACGCAGCCCCACGGCGTGGGCGGGCACTGCAGAGGGACGAGCAGAGCCAAACGCGCCACGATCACGATGCCGGCGACGAAGATGGAGGCGAGGCGAAGGAGACGACGACAACGACGACGACGACGACGACGACGACGACGACAACGACGACGACGACGACCAGGCCGAAGACGAGCGAAATGGAGCGGTGGTGCCATGCGAACCCTCATGGCCTTCGCTGGAACTTCCTATGGGGCCGCGAAGCGTGTACGAGGTGTGCCCGCATGGGCGGCGGTGCCATGCGAGCCCTCCCGCACGGGCCTTGGGTGGAGCCCCCTCATGGGGCCGCGGAGCGGGTGAGGTGTGCGCCGGAATGGGGCAGTGGTGCCATGCGAACCCTCCCACGGGAACCTCAGGTGGAGCCCAGTGGCCCCAGGAGGGGCGAACGGCCATTTGACCCGCCAGACGGCGCGCCAGGAGAAGGACTGCACGCCAGGAGAAGGAGCTGAGGACGTCGTAGACGGCAATGTTAAACAATGCAAGCAGCTGAGCTGAAAACGTTGAAGAAACATGTAGCTGGAAACGCGAACAAATGAATCGTTTGTTGTTGCGTGTTTAGTTTTCTTATTGGGACCTGAAGAGGCTGAAACAGTGATGTCCAACACGCCGCGTTAAGAACGGTAGAACCAACTCTGGACATGCTTAAGAAGAACCCATGGGAAAACAACATCCACTCTGCTTCGGTGCTCGCTGGCGGCTGCTCCTCTTCCTCCTCTCCCTCCTCCCGGCTCTCCACGATGCTAAATTCGTGCGCAAGCCTCTCTTCGGATAGATCGGCGCGCCTGAGGCTGCGTCTACTCCTCCCCCTCCCCCTCCTCCAAAAGCCTCGGTCGTCTCCTCCGTCATCCCTTCTCCTCCGCGCCCTCCCTCCACAGCTTTGCCGCCGTCCAGGGGCCAACAAGTCGCGCTTTTCGGGGAGCTGCCCTGGGGCCCCCGGCCAGAGCGGACCTCTCCAAGGCGGATCTGGCCATGCCCACGAGGGGCCTCCGGAAGACCCCGGAAAAAATTAGGAACAGCGAGGTCTCAGAAAGTGGGGATTGATCCATACCCACCGCCCAGGGTCGGGCGGGTGGTTCATGGGGGGGTGACCTAAATTCACCCCCCATTTCCCTGACCTTCCAGAGCGCTAGCAACCAGCACTCCGGACCGATTTCTCGATCTGGGCCGCCTCAAACCTCGACAGGAAGTAGGACGTCGACGTCCTGGTGCTATTTTCAAGCCCTCCTTGGAGGGTCCGGGCTGGCCCACCCCTCGCGCGCAGCCGCCCGACAGGGGATCGATCTCCGGGGGCCTCGGCGGGCGACGGAGGTGTACGCCTCGTCGGGCCCCGCTGGTGGCGGGAGGGGGCGCTTCCTCCGTGCCCACCGCCTGCCGAGGTCCCCTCGGAGGCGACGAGGGGGGCGAGTGGCCCATGGGGGGGAGCAATACGCCGATGGTCCATGCCTTCGGCGAGGCTCCCGGGCGAATGCGTGCAACGCCCGCCCCTGCGCTATTCGCCCCTATCGTCGCCGCCGATCCCCCGAGGTCGAGCTCCCAGGCGGTGGTTCTTGAGATGGTCGGGCGTGCGTAGACTCCAGTCGGGCGTGCCCCTCTACAGGGACGGTTGTTCTACCATGTTTCAGCATGTTTTGAAAAGTTGTTGGCTATCTTTTATTGCTCGCCCAGAATCCGCCTGTAGGGGAACACGCCCGACCCAAGTGTAGACAGGGGGGATGCCCCCATGAGTGGTGAGGGAAGCAATCCTAAAGGTGCCCTTGAGGGCCCCTTTTTGGGCCCCCTTGGCTCCAAAAACTGAGGGCCCCTGCGGGCCCCTGCGGGGGTCCGAGTAGATTGGGTCGGAGGATCGCGCCGCATCGCCGAGGCATCGCCGATGCGGCTCGTTGTGGAGCAAAATTGTCTCCACGTCGACGTCGCCGATACATCAGCGGCGATGCGGCGTGATCCTCCGACCCCATGTACTCGAAACCCATTTGGGAGGCCCCTATAACTTCGAGCACAAGCACGAAGCCATGTGCAGTCCCGCGCGTGGGCGGGAGAAGTCAGAGCTCAGGCGTTCCCGTCAAGTGCGCTTGCTAAACAGGACAGTCGTGAAGGAGTGGGAAGGACAAGAGGAGGCGGAGGAGGAGGAGGAGGAGGAGGAGGAGTAGCAGAAGCAGGAGCAGGAGCAGGAGGACGAGGAGGAGGAGGCGACTCAGAAGCACATCGCAAAGCCTCGAACCCCGATGTCACTGAGGAGCTCTCGCGCGACCCACCCACAGCATAGAAGAAGCCTCCGACCCGCTCCCGCCCTCCTCGCCCCTCGATCCTCGACCCTCCTCGTCTTCGACCCTCGATCCCCTATCCTCCTCGGCCCTCGACCCTCGATCCTCCTCGTCTTCGACCACCGATCCCCTATCCTCCTCGACCCTCGATCCTCCGCGCCTCTCCCCCCCCCTGCGCTGGAGCCTCGTTCTGGCAGGGACCTCGTGGCGGTTCCAGCCGTGGCGGGCGACGGGGGCCCCAGCGAGGCCCCCAAGTGCAGGAGCACGCGCACACGGACACACCCAGCGATCTCGGCCCACCCCCCCCTCGATCCTCGGTCCTCCTCGATCCTCGGTGCACCGCGCCAGTCCCCCCCCACCCCCCCCCTCCCCGCCCCGCCTGGGTCCGCAGGAGCTGGTGCGGCCCACCACGCTGCTCTTCTCGGCGCTCGGCGGCTCCCTGCTGCTCAGCTCCCTGGCCTCCGTCGCCATCTCGATCGCCCAGTCGACGACCTCCGGGCTCGGCCTGCGGGGCCACTCGGCCGCCTTGTTTTGTTCGGGGGGATCGGCCCCGCCACTCGGTCCACCCGCACAGTGGGGACGGGCCACCCTCCCAGGGGGTACCCATGCATCATTGCCCCTTCGGCCCATCCCGAGCGACTTTCGCTGGGCAGCCTCGTTCGGACACCGTTCGTATGGGCATCCGAGGCCCTGGCATCCTTATATCGGGCATCCTTCTGATACGGGCTGACCGTATCTGCGACGAACGAGGATTGAGGCGCAGCGAGGATACCTGCGACGAGGGGATCGTGCCTGGACCCCCTCGTCGCAAACCATGTCGAGATCTCGGCCCTCGCGGGCCCCGGGATTCCTCGGCCCCTGGACCTCCTCGATCCTGCTCGACGGCCAAGCCTCCTCGAATGTCGAGGAGGGCGGAGGAGGATCGACAACCGAGGACGACGAGGATGGAGGGTCGGGGAGGACCGAGGATCGAGGATCGGTGACGACGAGGACCGAGGAGGCCCGATGATCGAGGGGCGAGGACCTGCGAGGGCGAGGCGGCTTCGCCGCAAGCGGACCGATCGGGCTCTCGGTCGCTGTGCGCCTGTGCCTTCGCTGCTGCGGGCCCCTCCTGCTGCACTCCGTGTGTCGTTTCGTGCTTGCGCCCAGACGTGGGATGTGACTGCCGATTCGGGGCAGGCACAGGATACCCCTGTGGAAGATGCGGCGGCTCGGCCAGGGCACATGGTGTAGCTGGCCTCGGCCAGGGCGGCGCTTAATCGGATGCAGGTAGTTGCGATATCCCGGTGGAGTTGACCTGGACGGTCGAGCGGTGCACCTCTTCCTCCTGCTACCCGCCCCCCTGCCCCATCCCGATCGCCGACTCCTGGCACGACTGTCTGTGATCCCATCCCATATTCCTCGCTGATTTGGCGCCCTTCCCCCGTCCCCATCCTTCTCCCCCCCCCGTCTCGGAACCACGAACTCGCAGCCCATCTGGCAATTGCGGCAGGAGCAGGGGCATTGGCACAAGGTCGATGGCCTGGACGGGACACATGTGTCCCTCCTTCCTCCCCTCCGACAGCCATGGCCCCTCCGAGGTGGAGCATCCTCTCCGCTTACTTCCTCTGCCTCTCCGGCCTGTTCTGCTGGCTCCCGGAGGCCTTCGCCAGCAAGGTGCGCTGGCGGGAGCCGCTCGCCCGCACGCTGTGGAGATGCGTCTGGCCCATCAGGTCTGGAAGGAGACGGCGAAGGCAGGAGCCATTTCGGCTCCGCCAGTTCGAATCGATTCCGTTTCGAGGTCGGCATTGGTTTTTCCAGAGGAGACGCACATATTTACCGATGTTTTTTATCCTTTCCTCGTTTTCTCGTTTTCGCCTTTTGGGGCCTCCTCGGAAGCCCTCGTCGCCACGGCTGGATTCGCTTCGAAATTCTGGTCAGAACGCACTTGAGAGAGGTCCAGAGAGCAGCGGTATTAGTACCTTCAATTTTGAAAAGGAGCTGGCCTCCATTGTTGCCGGTGTAGCTCCTGAAGCGTGCTTGTGCTTCGGATCACGGAGCTTTTAGGAGCGTCTCTCGCGAGAGGCTCATTTTGACAAGGAAGCGCCCCTCATCCGCGTGACATTTGTCGGGTGTGCGTGTCACGAAATGATGCCAGAGGGGTCTCAAGCGAGAGCCACAAGTGGAAATGGAGTCGCTCCCAATGTTCGTAATTATCGTAAGTTTGGATCACGAAGGTGAGCGGCGCCAATGCGAGGGACCGCATTTTGACAACAGCGTACCTGCTTATTGTTTGAAAACTTTTGGGACGCATGTGCGCGGCGCCAAGGTGAGATCCATGCAATGGGGAACTTTACGACGAATGTGCGCGCCGCTCTGGCGAGAGCCACATGTTCACTACAACGCCTATGCTCCGTTATGTGTGTAGCTATTGGGAATATGAAGGCTAAACGTTGCCTCAATGGAAACGACCAGCCCACGCTTCGACGCGCGAGGAGGAATTATCCATGTGCACGGCGTGCGGATGGAGGAGGAGAGCCAAGGTCGTCGGGCGCGCTTGGCGTCTCGTGTGCCGCTGGGGGACGCTGGGGACCTCTGGAAGCCCCTGGAGATCTCCGAAGTCTTCTGCGAGACTTTTGGGTCACCCTGCGGGCCCCAGGAGACGTCTTGGAAGCACCCGAGGGGCTTCTCAGAAACAGGCTAGGGCTCCCAACTTCGCGCTTCGCGCTCCGCGAAGCGCGAAGCGCGAATAACTTCGCGCTCTCGCGCCGCCCCCCCAAAGGGAGAATAGGAGGACGAGGAGGAGGGGGAGAAGGAACGAGGACCGCGAAGCGCGAAGCGCGAATAACTTCGCGCCCTCGGGGGAGCGCTTCTACCTCAGAGAGGAGGGGGCTCAGAGGGCCTCGCCTTCGATGGCTCGACGAAGGTGGCATCTTCTGCTCGGCGGAAGGGCGGCGGAGGCCGGCGGAAGCAAAGCGGGGGGGGCGGCTCCGCCGGGGGAAGGTGCAGGACGGCCGGTGGAAGTTGACGGAAGTAGCCGAGAATCGTTCACATGTAAGAGCAAGGGCTCCCTCGAGGGCGCGAAGTTATTCGCGCTTCGCGCTTCGCGGTCCTCGTTCCTTCTCCCCCTCCTCCTCGTCCTCCTCTTCTCCCTCTGGGAGGGCGGCGCGAGAGCGCGAAGTTATTCGCGCTTCGCGCTTCGCGCAGCGCGAAGCGCGAAGTTGGGAGCCCTAGAGGACGGCCGGTGGAAGTTGACGGAAGTAACCGAGAATCGTTCACATGTAAGAGTGACCCTTCGCCGAGGTGACCCTTGGTGCGGGCTCATCGGGGGAGCGCAATACCTTCGCGGCTGCTTGCGTGCCTATATTTGGCCACCTTGCGCGTCCTGAGTCCGTGCACCCAAGGTCACTCTGACCCAGGGTCACTCTTGCGTGTAGCCGAGGGAAGCCTGATCGGCTCACGGATTCATCGGCCGACCCCTTCTCCGAGCCGGGTCGCAATTGCCAGCCCGACTAAGCGCGACGGCTTCCGTGCACCGTCCGTCAGTGCCGCCACAGTACCCATCAACGCTTCGACCACCCAGCACGAGAGCCATAATGATGCTGCGACCACCGAGGGCAGCAATGTTTTCGCCTACGGCCGTGGGCACCTTCGTCCTCGTAGCTTTGGGCAACCACGTCTGTGCCGCTGTGGACCACAACGCCTTCGGTCACAAAGTCAACGGGTTGGTTTCTGGTCGAGTACACGTTTGGGCACTATTGCTGCGGCGATGGTGTCGTGCACTCCTATTGGTCGCTCCGTGTCGGTAAGGTTAGCGCTGGCCAGCGGTCCGACTGCTCTGAACTTCCACGTGCTGCGAGCAAGAGGAATCCGAGCTACTGTGAGGAGCAAGGAGGCGGGGGGAGGTGCAGCGCCCCTGGGCGTTGTTTTACGCGCGGTGCGTCTTCGGGGATGGTTCTCATGCTCCTCAGCTGCCGCCGTCGCTTCGCCAAGGATATCCTCATAGATGGAACGCGCGTTGACAACCTAGCTCTCGCTGTTGGGCATGCCCTCACCCACGACGAACCCGTTTTTCCTGGTCGTCGGCTGAGCTCAGGTTGTTGAGAAGACCTTGCGTTGCAGCAAGTTTCTGCGCTTCGGGAGACCGCTGGCTCACGCCATCTTTCGCCACGGACCCCCGATGACAGGGAAAGACGCACCGTTTCCAGTGATCTTTCGGGGTCCTCTGCCCAGGGAGGGTGCGCATCCAGCCTGCCCCATCGGCGTCCTCCTTCTGCCTGGCGGCAGGTCCCTAGGCGTGCCTTCGGGGCGGTTTCCGAGTTGCCCCGAGTTCCGCCGACTTGCCAAAGTTGGGCAAATTACGTTCTGTCGTCGGCCGCGCGGCCGGGACAAAGTTTCTTACTCTCGCCCGTCGGCGCTAGCGAATGTAACAGCAATGTGCAATGTGCAAGTCGCTGCTCTTCGGCGTTGCTGGATGGCCGCCCACACCCCAGCGGGGGCCATGGGCGCCTCTCCTGCAGTGCCGCCTCCGCGGAGGCGGGAGCCCGTGAGGGCGGGATTGGGGGGGTCCGCAAGGCAAACGCCTTGGTGACCCAGCTCTGCCATCCCCACCTGCGGGGCCTCCGGAGGCCACCGCTGTCGATGTGATTAGCCATGTCGTGCGCCGCAGCGCCGCGTGCCGGCGGATTTTACCGTACGCCCCTCACGAGGCGCCTGTCTTGACGGCGCATTGGGCGCAGTGCAGCGCAGTGGAAAAGGTAAACGATTCGCCCCCAAAAGATGACAACATGTTTGGGTTCAGGATTTCCAGCGCCCGCCAGTCGGTCCCGTTCTCTTGAAGGTTTCGCCCAATCAGGGCGTCGAGCAGCAGTAGCGAGGGCGCCGCGCCCAAGTGGGCGAGCCCCTCAGACAGCCGAGCGCCTCGGGCTTCATGTTGGATGTATCGAGGAAGAGATTTACCTTCTGAAGGTGCGCCCCAAACTGTTGTCATGTGGTCGAATGGCGGATTCGGGTTGGCAAGGGCGGCCCAGGTGGATGAATCCCTGACCCGTGCAAACCCCCAGGTCGGCGCCGACCCCCTTTGTGGAAGTGCTGGTCGCTGACGGCCTGACGTCTACGGCCAAAGTCTTCTTTGACCTGGCCATGGTGTCCTGCGCGGCGTTCAACTCCATGGACCTATGGCGCCCGACCGCACTCGCGATATCGATGTCCGAGGACGCGGCGCTGCAGGGGCAGCGCAGGACACTGCTGGGGGAGGCCACCGACCAGTGCAGCCGGTCCTCCGTGCCGTTCTTTTTCTGGGCCGCGCCTTTCCTGATACGTGGCTACCAGGAGACTGTGGTTTTCAAGGGCTCCCTCGAGGGCGCGAAGTTATTCGCGCTTCGCGCTTCGCGGTCCTCGTTCCTTCTCCCCCTCCTCCTCGTCCTCCTATTCTCCCTTTGGGGGGGCGGCGCGAGGGCGCGAAGTTATTCGCGCTTCGCGCTTCGCGCAGCGCGAAGCGCGAAGCTGGGAGCCGTTGGGTTTTATAGAGTGGCGATGACGGGCGAGACCGGAGGGGGGAGGGGGGAAGCGCGGGGGCCGGTCACGTCAGGCTTTGCGCCGGCGTTGTCAGGGAATGCTTCGCACTGGGCAACTCCCAGACGGCGCCAGCGCGAATCGTAGCGTGAGCGGGGGGGGGGGCTGCGCGGGGCCGGTGACGGGTGGTATCGCGAATCATCAAGACATGGCCCCAGTGTATCCTGACGATCCGCAACACGAAGGACGGCCACACCAGCCAGATGCAGATGATCAATCTGGCGAAGTACGTCTCGAGCCTCCCGATAGTGTTGTTCGCATTCGGCTACGCGCAGAACCAGCCAGAGTTCTCCATGGACCCGGAGGATTTTGAGGTGCTGTGGGCACTCGCTGCCATCGTCAATTCCGTGTTCTCGCTGATGTGGGATCTGGTGATGGATTGGGGGATCTTGCAGGCAACGGGGCCGCCCTGCACGTCAAGACATTTCGGGCTCCGGCCGAACCTTCTCTTCCGCAGCATGTGGGGCTTCTACCATTTTGCGATCCTGCTGAACCTCGGAGGACCCCCCGCGCGCGTGCGGGAGTGCTTGCTCCACGCTGGCGGAGTGGGAGGGAGGGGGAAGCAACGATGAGGAGGGGCGGATGGAGGAGGGGACGGAGAGAGAAGGGAAAGATCGAGGGAGGGGACGAGGCGGCGGTGGTTGCTTGGGTAAGCACAAAACCTTTTAGCGGCACCTCCAACTCAGGGATGGCTGGGGGCAGCCCACTCCCTGTCGAGGGAGGGTAGGGGAAGGAGGGGGGCGGAGGATGTGGAGGGGAAGGGGAAGGAGGAGGGACGAGGAGGGACGAGGAGGGAGGAGGGTGGAGGGTGGAGCCAGAGAGAGAGAGAGAGGGAGGGCTGAGGGGACGGGAGGGACGCGGGTTCTGCAGTGCACCAGTCTTTGGGGCCAGTGACATGTCCACCACGCTATGTTATGTTTGTCCACCACTTCGTGGCAAATGGCGGTCCAAACGCACCGTATATACTTTGAATATTTGTCGCCCAGAGAACCGGCTGGAAAATTATACACCATGAGTTGTCGTGTGGCGTTGTGTGGCGTCTCCGCGAAGCCCCGCGGTTACCAAGTCTGTTTGCCCATGAAGAGGTGGGAAGAGGGAGGGGGGGAGGCTGGTGTCGGGCATTGAGAGAGCGCCCGCCCAGACAAGTCGACAGAGGCAATCTGCATGGGTTCCCTCGGCGTTGGCATTCGAGTGCGCCAGTGCAGTCCCTGGTCGGTTTCGCTCATCGACGTGCGTTTCGCCGGCTAAATCCGCTTGTTTTTTGGACGTCGGTTAGCGGTTTCGCCCGGGTGCATTCGGAACGCGGTGCCGCGAGCACCCGCGAAGTACCCAAGCAGCTGTCGGTAAAGGGCGTTTTGCTGAAGGGGGCTCTGTCAGTCCTCGAGGGATGAGACCTTCCCCCTCCTCTTTCTCCGGGCAGGGCGGACGATGTGGTCGCTGCGCTGGTCGACGACCGCCACGCTCTTCCTGGGTGCGCCGGTGGCCGAAGAAGCCTCGCCGTCGCCCTCGCCCCGGACCCCCGACGTCAGGATTTTGTCACAGCGTCGACCCTCAGAGGTCTCTACCCATTCCCCAGGACCAGGTTTTCATCCCGAGTCGTTCTTTGACGGCCCCGAGGCCCGGCGAGGGCCCCCAGAGGCCAGAAGTTGCAGAATACCTCCAGTCGTGATTTTTTCCCCATGCGAGGGGGGTGTGCGGCCGTCGCAGACGTCGTCGCCGTCTCCGTCGTTATCCCTCGCCTCCTTGTCCTCCTCCTCGTCCTGCTCGGCGGCGTCGTCGACGTCGCCCGGCGAGATACTCGGGGGTGGCCAAGAGGGGTGTGATGACTAGGGGGGGATATCATGGCGGGGGCCATGATACCTCCCCAGATTTCATGGCGCCTCTTCTTATTTCAGTACGTTCCCTGGCCCCCCATTTGTCCGCGCACATGCCTCAGGCCATGACTTGTCCCCCCCCCCTCTTGGACGCCCCCCTCTCGGACGCCCCCGAGATGCCGAGGCCCGCCCCCTGGCCCTTTGCCGTCGGCCCCGCGCGGGCCGGGTCCTGGGGAGAGGGGGGGGGGGGGGCGTTACGTACACGGCTGTCGTTGAAAGTAGGTATGGTCGGAGGTTGATCGACCTCCCACCCTGCCACGTCGATTGGCGAACTGGCCGTTTTCGGCTCACGAGGGGGCGTCGCGGTCATTTTTGCGGGTCCAGGTCCGTCATGTTTCCGGGTCATTTGTGCCGGGGGGGGGGGCGGTACGTACACGGCTGTCGTTGAAAGACTATATGTTTTCTGAATCTGGAGTTTTTGCATTCCCAGTGGCGGGCTGTCTTTCAATCCCAGGACTATTTGAAGGTCGGGGACGTCGCCGGGGTTGTGTTATGTGTACTCTTTCTCCGCGCTTTCCCGGGGAGACAACGAACAATGTATACACGACGATCCCGTATTCACCAGGATCCGCATTCCTGTGCAGATGTCGATGCAGTGCCAGAACAAGCGTCAGTGTGTAGAGCTCGTCTCCCAACTTCTGGATATGCAGATTCCAATCTACTTCAAGCGCCTTCCTACTTCAAGAATCGATCTGTGTCTGCGGTCCCCCGCCCAACAGGTTGGGGTCGTTAGATTTCAAGAACGGGCCTCCCGACCTATCCACCTTGCATACCGCGGCCGCCAGATCCCCAGGTCCCCCGAGTGCCCCCGAGTGTCCCGCCTCGCGCCACTATGCATAACGCGGCCGCCGAATCCCCAGGTTCCCCGAGTGTCCCTGAGTGTCCCGCCTCGCGCCGACAAATCATAGCATGCCAAAGCGGTATTATATCATAGCAGAACATATCACAGCACAATCGTATAAACCATGGCAGAACGTAGCATAACGCTACACCACCTAACATGACATACCCGAGCACAACATGCCAGGTCATGACATAGCATGTCGTATTACAGCACACCATGAACGAGCAGTGCATACCACAGCACAGCATCATAGCACAGACCACCACATAGCATGACAACGCAAATACAGCATACGAATACATTACACACGTAAACATATCAACATCTATTATGTCGCGTCTGTACATAAAATGGCAGCCGTTCATACCACACCACAGTCTAGCAACGCATGCTGTGATACATCGGAGCATGCGTAACATAACATAGCAGGGCACACCATAAAGTCACAATGGTGACCATCTATTAATACCATAACATACTTTGGTAGAGCATACCACAGCATGGCAACTCATCACATCATATACCCCATGACAGACAGCATCGCAGCACAGATGACACAGCATAACATTACAGAGCGCGTCATATTATATTTCGTCGTAGCAGAACATGGCACACCATAACACCATACGCAGTATTAGAAATTACCCATGAAGGACAGGTTCTAGCACCGCACCTCATAACATAGAACGCATAACATACCATACCGCACCATGGTATACTATATATGTATTCGTTTGCATATATATACACATATATACATATATACATATCTATACATGTATATATGTTTCATAGTATGACGTACCGTGGCAGAACGGATCGCACCGTAGCGCAGCATCAAAGGATTTATCATTCTACAACGTGGCAATGCATGCCATGACAGATCGTTGCGTAACACGTAGCATAGATCCCCATAGTCATTCATGACACCATACCATAACAACGCATAGCATTGCATATCATGACAGGCCAAGACATAACACGACACAGCATGACACACCATGCGATGGCATCATGGAGTTTACAGAGCAGACTCTAACACCACATATCATAACAAAGTCGGACGGAACACACAATAACATAGCGTACCATACTATAGCATAGTTGTCCAAATACTAAGCGCTACATATCATTGCATAACACAGAATCACAGCATTTCAAATCTGGACAAAGTATCTTATCACAACGTATGTAGCAAATCGTATAACAGTACAATCAGACGCGACGTACGCGCCGAGATCAGCCCGGCCACAGGTACAAATAGACGCAGCAACGACCGATCGGACGACGCATCGAATGTGACAGGCGTCACGGCGTCACGCCGTCCCGTCGATAACATACCATATCATCTTGTAGCATGGCAGAACAGAGCTTCATTGAGCATACCATAATTGAGCATTGTGAGATACAGCAGGCAAATTAAGGGCGACTGTCAAACGCAGTATCCGTTCCTGGCCATAGGAAAAACAGTCGCGAACACGATCGATTAGACGACATGTCAAACGTGACAGGCGTCATGACGTCACGCCGCCCAGCCGAGAGCAGAAAAGAAACAGACATATGTGCATCCAACCAAACAGAACCGAACACAACGTGAGACTGTACAGTCCAGCAGAGACAGAGTATTGGCGGCCTATCATACGCGACATGCGCGCCAAGCCCAGGCCGGTTACAGAAACAAGCAGTAGCAGCAGCGACATATTCGAAAACATACCACACGTGAACGGCGTCACGACGACACGCCGGCCCGTCGATAACATACCATATCATTTTGTAGCATGGCAGAACAGAGCTTCATTGAGCATACCATAATTGAGCATTGTGAGATACAGCACCGACAAATTAAGGGCGCACTGTCAAACGCAGTATCCGTTCCTGGCCATAGGAAAAACAGTCGCGAACACGATCGATTAGACGGCATGTCAAACGTGACAGGCGTCATGACGTCACGCCGCCCAGCCGAGAGCAGAAAAGAAACAGACATATGTGCATCCAACCAAACAGAGCCGAACACAACGTGAGACTGTACAATCCAGCAGAGACAGAGTATTGGCGGCCTATCATACGCGACATGCGCGCCAAGCCCAGGCCGGTTACAGAAACAAGCAGTAGCAGCAGCGACATATTCGAAAACATACCACACGTGAACGGCGTCACGACGACACGCCGGCCCGTCTTCAACATAGCATGACAGAACATGCAGAATCGAACCGAACTTAGTATAGCATACTATTACGTATACGCCAGCCGCAATTTCACGGCGCCGCATCAAACGCAACATGCGGCCCGTTGCCAGAGAAAGACGGAGCGTCCGGAGCAAGAGGAGGAAGGAGAAGTCGGCCTCACCTCATCCTCCTCCTTTTTTCATCGTCCGCCTCCTCCTCGTGCTGCTGCTGCTGCTGCTCCTCCTCTTCCTTTCTCAACAGGCTGCATATTCTCTCCGAAAAAGTTCTCAGGTCTCGCAAGATGCGGTTTGGTGGCTGGTTTGACGCTCCAGGGCTTTCCTCTTTATTTCGTCAGGGGCCCTGGGGTTATTAGACTGTTGGGAAACTTCAACTTGCGACCTGGCCCAGCCGCCGCGTTGCCTGAGACCGCCGGGCCCCACGCACATCGTTCAATAGGCGCCCGCACCGTCGGGAACAAGAGCCGAAGGTTTCGGTGGAGATCGCTCGCAGCAGAATATGTGTCTGTTATTCTTTGGGCGGTCCCGAACTCAATCTACTTTATCCGCTTTCCGACTTCATGTTTCCCTAATCAGTGTTTGCACTGAAGGGGGTTCAGCGGAAACTGAAAGGTTTGGCGAAAGTTTCCCGCCGATGCTGGTAGACGGCTGAGTTCCCGGGTTCCCAGTTCCAGGTTCCCTGGTTCCTGGTCATTGATTCCGGGCCGATTTCAGTGGGTTCCGGGTTCCCAGGTTCCCGGTCGATCTTTTTATCGATCTTTTTGTCGATTTCCCGATTCATTATCGATCTCTTTACCGATCCCATTTCAAAACATCTATTGATTGGAATTTTTCTCTGGTGTAATTTACTTCTCCCGACCAGCGTGTAAGTTAATGGAGGCGCGCGGAGGAAAGGTGTACATTCTTGGTGCCCTGAAAAAAAGGGCCCCGGAGGGCCCCCTCCTGGGGCACGTGCCTCTCCCCCCCTGCCCTCGTGTGTCGTCCCCCAAAAAAGAAACATACGCAAAGCAGAACAAAAACAACAAGAAACGCTCAATAACGGCGAGCTGTCCTGCCACCCATCGTTTCGAGGGCTGGCAGACCTCGGATGTGAAAACAACGCCATAAACACAAACTGGATCCGCGCTGGGCCGCGCCGGCCCCCCCTCCCCCGGCGGCGCTTCTGGCGCCGCCCCCTTTGCGCGCGCCACGCGCCACGGAGCGGGGTCTAGTGCAGATCCAGGAAATCCGCACGGAGCGCCAAAGGTATCTTCATGCCGTTTTCCCTTCTTCAAATATCAAGCGGGGGATCGAACGTGCCCCAGGGCCAGTCTGGAGAGGGGTGTTTTTCAGGACCCGCGTCGGGTCACCCTGCTCGAGCAGGTTTGGGCACGTGTTGTTGCTGGAGCTGTGGCCCCGGCGACGCAGCGCTGAGGGCACAGTACGTCGCCTCTGGCGGAAGGATTGTGGCCTTTTCTCCGGCATTGGCCAGCTGTTTTTTTTGTTGGGGGGAGGCTTTGCCAGGATCCAGGGGGTCCATCGTTGATTGCGGGTCGTTGGTGGCTGACGATGGGGGCGAGATGGAGGAGGAGGAGGAGGAGGAGGAGGAGGAGGAGGAGGAGGAGGATGTTTCAACGGTTCTTGGATGTCTCTTCGGGGCTCCTGTGTGGGTTGTAGATGGTCCGAGGAGACATCCAGAGGTTTTTGGAGGATGAACAGGGCAGGAGCAGGAGGAGGAAGAGAAGGAGGAGACGCGGAGGTGGACGTGCAGGATGAGGAAACCTGGGGAGGGGGCGGGTAGGCAGAGTGGAATGTCGGTTTGGCCGAGGGGAAGATGAATGAAGAGGATCACGATCACGTGAAGGACGAGGTGCGCGAAGAGGAGCTGACGGAGTAGGGGGTGATGAGGGGGAGGGCTCTGCTGCTGTCTTGCACACTCGTGCGAATGGAAGGATCGTAAAGAGACAGTGCGGGACGTTTACGCCTGCATAGATAAAAAATCATTGGTTATTAACACTTAGGCGACATGTGTTTCACATTACAAACGTCGAACTTATCGAATGCAATCCGCTACTGTTTCCATGCGAGGCACATGCAGGGAAGACATTGACGCCTCTGGTCTGTTGGGCTAAAGCCTTGGGAGTTGGTGGCGGTCACTGACAACTGAAAACGGTACCCTTGATTCAGTGCGAATTGTCTGGCCTAGAAGTTTGCGAAATTGTATATGTCTTAGCAGATTGACGGGCCCGCTTTCCCCTCCACCCCCGCTCCCAGAAGTGTTGGGGACGGGGGAGAGGCGGGGAGCCCTGGGGATAGGAGCTCGGACAGGTTGCTGCCACACCGCGGGAGCATTCGTCTCACCTGCTCAAGTGGGCTGGGCAACGCTCTTGTCTCGTGTTGGCGTTTGTCCCCGCGTGCTTCACGCATTGACGGCCGTCAGTGTTGCAGTCTTCTTTGTCTGACGACCGCAGCAAGCAATGAGCTCCTGGCTCAGCACCTTTGTTGACGACACCGTTTCTGGTGGCGCCGGGCCGCTCAGCCGTTTCCCGAGGAATCGCCTTCAAATCTTGATGCCCCCGTGTCTTCAGTGGCAATGTTCTCGCGCCAGCTCTGGAAGCCCTTCGAGGCAACGTTTGGTGTGCACAGGCACAAGTGGCCCACTCCGCCAAGGAAAGTGCGGTTTCGTTTTCGGGGACCTATCGCCGATCTACCGGCGATGTCTCGTCGATTCAGGCTCGATGCTCCCTTCTCCTGAGCCAGGCCCCCCTATCGGTGACCTTCACACCCTCCGCTAGCATCGGAACTACAGCAGAATGGCGTTTCCCAAAATAGTTCTACCTGCGGCACACGTCGAGAGTGCCTCGATGATCTGTGGGCGTCTGCGTGATGGAGCGGGTGGCAGATAATATTGCAGCAAGCACAGCCCTTGGCCCACAGGGCCGCAGGCGGCTCCTGTGAGCACGCCCGGCTCGTCGGTAACAGCCGCCGTGGAGCATGCGGTGTAGAAGACTTGGCGCCTCTGCTGGAGGCACGATCTATCGGTGTAATCTTTTCCTCCCGAGGAGTTCTTGCGGCTTCCTACCTGGCCTAAGCCTGAGGTTTCCACTGCAAAAGAAAGGTGGGAGGCCCGACCTAGAAACCAGGCATCTCGGGGAAGCCAGCCTGCAACAGAAATGATCATAGGTGTTTGAGCTACTCCTTCTCGAACCGCCAGAATGGATTCGTCTCAGATGCGGTCCGTACAGGCGCAACTCACAAGTCGATCATGGAGATCGCTGGCGGCGCTTCCACACCGACATTGGGCTTCCGCGAGGTGCCCAGCATCGAAAAGACTTGGTTTAGTCCAGATACTTTGGACTTCTCTCTATGGCTCCCGAGGGCTCCAGGCCTCGGCCGCCTCGTGCTCGCAACGTTGCTATTCACCGCCCACCAAGCCACCCAGACCCAACCCGAAGGCCCTCATTTGCCCTCCATTTCCAGTGGGGGGGGGTCGGGGAACATTGAAAAAACATGTGTGAAACCCGTACCGCCCAACCCGAAATTCGGGTCTTCGGGTTAGGTTGGGGTGGTCTGGTAGGCAGTCAGCTATGAAAGAAAGCCGACTGCAACCTGGTCATGGAGAGCTTGCTGGTGATGGTGGTTGGAAGTTGTTGTGTTGATCGGTGAGCCCGTAATGCCAGTTACGGGGGGTTCGCCCCCCGCCCGCCCCCCCCCTTCCTCCCCGTAACGGTACCGAGCGTACGCAGGGGGGCAGGGGGGCTGGTTCCCCCACGGGCACCTCGCGCTGCTCACGGGCATGCTGTGGTGCAGACCGGCATGCTCTGGTGCCCACAAGCATCTTGTGGCGTTCGCAGGCCCGACCCCCTATCCCCCGTAACGGCCGTTGCGGGGGGGGACCAGCGGTACAGCGAGGGCACCAGGTAGAAAGGCAGCCTGGCACCGGGTGCTCCGTGGTGATGTCTCCGTTCCGGAGGGCCCAGGGCCACCGCTGGAGTTCCGTGTGGGCACGCACATCGAGTTCCGAGCCACGTGCCCGCTCTGTCGCTGGCAGCACAAGAACCCTTGGCGCGTGCAGACTGCAGCCAGGACGTGGCAACGAGGACCACTCTGGTCTCGAGGAGGGCTCTGGTCTGCGGGATCTGGGTCAGGAGCCTTCTGCGTGGCCGAGGCTCTACCTCGGTGCGCCCTGGAAACAGCATCGCCGTTTGGTTGCCGTTTTTCGTTTTTCATGGAACACGGAAACGGTATCCACCGGCTCTTGGAAAGGGGGGAGAACCGTTACCGCAACGGAGTTTGAACCGGAAACGGACAAACAAGTGCGACGGAATTGGGGAAATAATTGCGATGGAGCAGGTAAGAACCCCGTTTGTTGCCCATGCAAGGTCCTCATGGTGCAGTCGGCCATCTGATGAAGAAACCTCATCCCGAAAAGCTGGGCCAGCTTTTCTTAGCAAACTTACTGGAAAGCTGGCCCATTTTCATGAGCACGTTCGCCCCTCCAGCGTAAACAGCAAACATTGGCCAGGTTTGTTTAAGAAGTTGCCGCCAAGCTGGCCCAGATGTCCGAAACGACAGTTTTCTTAAAAGACAGCTTCTTGATCACATGTTCGGCTGCAGCGCGACGACAGCATTTCGCTTCGTACTGCCAGCCGAGCGCCAGCCAAGCGCCAGCCGAGCCCGCCGCGTGGCCGCAGGCAGTTTCTTCCTGTCCACCGTCCAGCAGGCCGCTGAGGTGACCCGGCGCTGCCTGTGGAACCTGCTGCGCGTCGAGTGGGAGCGTTGGGGGGCGCTGGGGAAGGTCGAGGATCGAGGACGGAGGTCGGAGTCGGCTGGTGGTCTGAGGTGGCCCAGCACTGGTCCCAGCCAGCAGGAAAGGGGGGCGAGGCTCGACATCGTCCTCTGGGGGCCATATTCGGGCCCTTGGACCGTCTAACACGGATCGGGGTGGAAAACTACACCAGGTGGACCTTGAGAGGGGTCCAGGGACCGATTTTAAGCAGATTTGCCCTCGTCCCTCCTTCTGAACAGCTTTGCTTCGGGACCCATCCAGTTCAGACCCCCCCGTCGCCTCCAAGATGCAGGTGTTTCGATCCTGCTCAGGGACGTCCAAGAGGTGGGATGACCGGGGGGTGGATATCGTGGCCCGGGCCACGATACCTCCCGCGATTTCATGGCGCCCTATTCTTCTTTCAATGTGTCCCCTGCCCCTCCCCGTCGTCTGGCAACGTGCCTCCAGCTTGGAACCGACCCGCCCCCCTCATGGACTCCCCCCCTCATGGACTGATATGTCCTTCGGGTCTTACATCGAGGATCGAGGACCGAAGCTGTTGGTGGAGGGCGAGACGGGAGCAGGGGAGTCCTCGAGCGCCGAGAAGAGCAGCCCGTCAGCCGCACCGGCTCATGGAGGGATCGGCGCTCGATGGTCGATGGTCGAGAATCGACTGAGAATTGTGGGATTGTGTGTGTGTTACTGAGAATTGTGGGAGTGTGTGTGTGTGTGTGTGTGTGTCTCATCGCTGGGCCTCGCCTACCTTCGCGGATGGAAGGAGTGGATATCTCTTCCACGGCGGAAGGCGGCGGAAGGTCTGCGGAAGGCGGCGGAAGTAACACGAGGCCGCCTTCGCCAGCGGAAGCTCGGCGGAAGGCGGCGGAAGCACAATGCGGCCTCCCAAGGAAAGGCGGCGGAAGTAATAGTCGGCCCCCCAAGAGATGGTAAGGTTTTTGGGTTCAGGGTTGTTTTGAACTCGCCATTTGTGTTTTTCTGTGCTGGGCCTCCTGGGGCACCCTCGTCGCCACGACTGGGACCGCCCGGAGGCCCCGTCAAAAAGGCGCCTCAGGACAGAGGGTGCGTTTTTTTGAGGAGGGCGCAAGCTGCAGGCGTATCTGAAAAATCGCGCCCGAGGTGTTTCTAGATTAAGTCGGGCGTGTCCCTCTACAGGAGGAATATCCAAAAATAGTAAAACAAGTCTGTGCGTTTTTTGTTTTAAAAAGGTTTGGGAAGGGGTCGAGAGAGTTGTAGGGCCCACGAGGGGAGGGGCCCAGAGGGAGGGGGGAAGAATCACGTCATGTGTATACAGGTCTTGGAGCTCCTAGGCGAGAATCAGTATCGTTGAACCGATCCCCATCCCCATCCCCATCCACATCTCGAGCCCGACCGTGTCACCACCTCAGTTGGGGATATGCCCCTCGAAACCCGAAGAGAGTAGCCTACATCACCATCCAGGACGGTAAATCGGCCAGTGGGTCCCAGCCCATGCTGGTGGGGATTTGGATCGGTTAAACTATGCTCAGAGAAAGGAAGCGGAGGAGGAGGTTGAGGACCAGTGTAAACCCAAGACGTGGCAAAGATGTTGCAATCGACCTTTGCTCCAAGTTCCCTCTTCACGCGCCACTGCAATGATTCATTTTCGTGGCGAGAGGTGCGCCACTGGAAGGCAATTGCTTGAGAATCCACAGTCGTGCCAAAGCACCGATTCCTGGGATTCCAGCGCCGCGAAGCAGTTGGGCTGTCGCGTCATGACAAGTCCTGACAGGCCTAGACTGTGCCAGACCACCGTTCGCGGGACTCCATCGCCGCAGAGCCACGCAATTGTTGCGTCTTGTTAAGTTCTGAGGTTGATAGACCTCCTACCCTGACACGTCGATTAGCGAATTGGCCGTTTTCGGTCCGCGAGATGGCGTCGTCACTACAGGGAGGTTTGCTAAAGGGAAGTTTGTCCACCGCCGAGAAATCGCGCCAGAACGCCATTTCTGGGACTTCAGCCGTGCCAATCCGTCAACCTGCTGCAAGCTGTTCCGACGAATATGTCCGCGGCGCTCATGCGAGAGCCACAGGGAGAGAGCTGCCCTCCATCTTGGCAGCTGCTGTATACATTTCAGATTATGTCGGGCCTGTCTATCTGCAGGAAGAATATTCAAAGATAGTCAAACATAGTAGGGGATGATTTGTTTTTTTGTTTAATTTGTTTACTGTGTTAGGGTATGTTGAGAGTAGTTCGAATGTTCCGCCCCAAATCCACCTGTAGGGGGACATGCTCGACCTAAATTTCAGACGATTGTGCGCGGCGCTAAGGCGAGAGTCGGGTTTTGAAGAGAAACCGCCCCGCATCATCGAAGCTGTTGCGGTCATAGGGAGCGCATCCGCGCAGCGTCAGATAGAGAGCCACAGCTTGAAAACTGCCCGCCCGTCTTGCTCATGGAACTGCTGCAGACGTTTGAGACGACTGTGCGCGGCGATATGGCGAGAGCCACATCTTGAAATCGACCCGTCCCCCGGCATAGAAGGAAAGGCAGATTTCCATGAAAGCCGCGGTTCGGTTCGGTTCGGTTGGGTTCGATGTGCGCCCGGTTCGGTTCGACAGATTCGGCTTGCGTCGCAGACCAGTTCGGGTCGACCACTTGGTTCGCGTCACAGGCCAGTTTGATTGGGCCGGTTCGGTTCGACCGGTTCGGTTCGGCTTGTTGGGCCATTTCGAGTCAATGCAAAGACGATCCGGGCCAGCCCGATTTCGATTCGTTTCGATTCCAGGCGGGCCGGTTTTGCGGGCCCACCGGGAACGGGGAGGAGGAGGAGGAGGATCAGGAGGAGGAGGAGGAGGAGGAGGAGGAGGAGGAACAGGAGGAGGACGACGATGATGGCGGCGGCGCCTTGCGCTGTCATTCCACGTGCGCGCGTGCCCACGTGGCCCGTGCCCTGGCAGGTGCCTCGCCGCCCGTTCCTCGCTGCTGGTCGCTGCCGCTGGCCGCTGCCGCTGGCGGGTGCCAGCACCGGGCAGTGCTGGCCCCGGCACCCGGGGGTGCGGGCAGCAGGGCGTGTGGCGGCTGGCATCGGGGGGGGCCGGATGGTCCTCCGAGAGTCTTGGTCGGGCCCCCGAGGGTCCTCCGCGGACTTTGGTGGGGCGCCCGAGGGTCTTCCGAGGGGTCTCCGGGGGTTTCGGTGGACCCCCGAGAGCGTCCTCCGGGGTGTGCCGGCCGAAGGGGGGCCGGTCGGCTGACTGCTGATGGGGTGCATGGTCCCACAGGGGCCAGCCTGGGCGATGCCCGGGCGATGCAGGATGATTCAGCAATTACGTCGTGCTCATGCGGCGGCGCCCAGGATGATGATCAGAAAAATCGGCCCTAGGCCAGGACCTTGTTTCTTGAATAGCTCCCCTCCCTCCTCGGGCGCGCGCCTGGACGGCCAACGGGCCAGACGGAGCCGAAGCGGAGGGTGTGGAGGAGAGGGGTTAAGGATGAAGGAGGCAATCATAACGGCGGTTGGGCGGCTCGATTCGGCCGATTCGGTTCGTACAGCGGGTCGGTTCGGTCAGCCGGTTCGGTTCGGCCGGTTCGGTTCCAAACCGGGTTCTCCATTCTCGGCTCGTTTCGCGGCCATTATGAATTTGGAGTGGTGAGGAAGTCTCACGCGAAACGCCACGCCCGCCTTGCCGACCGTCTGGGGGCGCGATAGGAGGGAGTTTTCGATGAGGAAAAGAGATGGAGGAGAAGCAGGAGGAGGAAGAGGAAGAAGAGGAAGATTTGCATCACTCACTTCTTGAAGGATTGAGGTCCAGGCGGGGCCAGGACTGCCACGGGGCTGGTCGACTGGGGGGGGCCCGCGCACCCCACACTGCGCGGCCGACGCGCGGCCCACGCTCAGGAGTGCATCAAGAAGGGCGTGCACCGCGCCCACAAGCACGTCGAGGTCTGACCGCAGCGGGCTGGGCGCTGGCAGCCGTGCCCTCCCCTTTCGGGACGACCGAACTGGGTACGGAAGAAATGGGTTCAGTGCCCAACCACAGTGCTTGTTAATTTTGAACAGGACTCGCTGTCCGCGCCGCCGCGGCCTGTGTCCATTTGACACCGAAGGCCGTCTGCCCAGCAGCGGCCTCTGTTGGTTTGGGACAACAACTGTCGTTGGGCATTGTACCCATTTTTCCCGTACCCATTTTGGGCGTCCGCACCCTCTCGAGCCTTCCGAGCGGCCTTCCGAGCGGCCTCTCGAGCCTTCCGAGCGGCCTCTCCGAGCGGCCTTCCGAGCGGCCTTCCGAGAGCCTTCGAGCCTTTGGACCCTCCAGCCTCTCGAGCCTTCCGAGCGGCGGGCGCCGCCGCCGGCACGCAGGCCGCCGCGGCGGGCGCAGCTGCGCGGCACCTGCTGCATATGGCAGGCGGGGGGGCCCGTGCTGCTCCCGCCCCGGGCCCCCGCCCCCCGAGGCCACCGGAGGAAGCCGGGCCTGGCAGAGGCCAAAAGCGGCCTGGCAGCTATCGATGCCCCCCCCCTCCCACCCTCGAGCCCCGAGCGCCGGGGGAAGAAGGGCTTGTCATGTGGGTGGAGCTCAGGTTGTGTTCGACGTCGGTCAGCTACCCACCTGGGGTCCACTCGGAGCGCGGCACCTTGCGCACGTTGAGTGTACCTGGAAGAAGCTGTCACCCAAGGGCGTTTTGCTGAAGGGCGTTCTGCCAGTCTTCGACCGAGGCGTCCGAAAAACCTACCCCCTCGAGCGTCGTGGGCAGCAGGCCTCACAGGTGGGAGGAGCTTGGGCTCCTGGGCCGGGGCCCTGGGCCGCGTTCCCGCGGATGCGGGCCGCTCCTGTTCGCGGATGCCCGGCGCGGAACGTGTCCGCGCGACCGCGTATCCGCGGGGTCTCGCCCTGGAGTCCAGACCGCGAGGGCGTGGAGCGTCCTAGAGGTCCGCAGCCCGTGGGCCCCTTTCCGGGCTGTGGGGCGAGCTGTCCTCGGGTGGCGCGGGCGGCGTGGTGGCCGCGAGGGGCACGGCCCGCGCACCGTCGGCGGCGCCCTCGAGGCAGAGCAGGAGCGACGCGCGCCCCGGGGAGATGAGGGCCCGCGTTGTGGCAGTGAGCGCTGCGACGGGACGCTGCACGCGGCCAGGTGCGGCGCGCGCGGCGGCCAGCCTTCGCAGACGCGCTGGGGGCCGCACGAGGACTGCACTGGTCTCACTTTTGTGAGGCGGGGATCTAGACATAGCCACTGCCTGGGGAAGCGACGTCCTGGGGCCCCGGCGAGCGATCGGTACGGAGATGTTTGGGCCCCACGGGGCCCGAGTACGTAATTAGCACCCCGCAGATGCAGTTAAAAGTGAGGGGGCGGCGGGGACGTCGGCAGTCTGCGAGACTCTGGAGAAGCCCGCCGCAGGCGCCGAAGTTTTACGAATTATGCGACGCGCCCACCGCAGGGGCCAACTTTGCTCGTTAAACCAATGTGTGTAGGTCGCGGGTGGGTCGGGGGTGAGTCGCACATGGGTCGCGGCTGGGTCGTGGCAGGGTCGCGGGTGGGCCGCTGATGGGTCTCGGCTGGGTCGCGGCTTGGTCGCGGGTGGGTCGCGGGTTGGGTCGCGGGTGGGTCGCAAGTGGGTCGCGGGTGTGTCGCGGGTGGGTCGCGGATGGGTCGCGGGGTGGGACGCGGGTGGGTCGAGGGAGTCGCGGGGTGGGTCGCGGGTGTGTCGCGGGTTGGTCGTGGATGGGTCGTGGGGTGGGTCGCGGGTGGGTCGCGGGGTGGGTCGCGGATGGGTCGCGGGTGGGTCGCAGGTGGGTCGCGGGGTCGGTGTCGTCGTCCCACCCGCGCGACCCACCCGCGACCCCACCCGCGACCCACCCCGCGACCCACCACGCGACCCACCACGCGACCCGCCCGCGACCCAAACAAACAACAACAACAACGCAACATCGCAACAACGCAACAAGCAGAGTCCTCACCACGGATCCCCACGTCAGGTACGCACCTAGGGACAATGAATGGCCGTTCGGCCCCCCCACTCTGATAATTATACATGTCCACCTCCTGCCGAGGTCCACGAATATCGATCCCCCAGGCGGTGGTTTGGAGAAGCACCCGCCTCTGACACCTGGAGCCGGGGGGCTGAAGTGGCCCATCGTTGGTTCTGGCCAGCAGAACAAGAAGAAAGCCGCCCCCTTGTCGCCACGGCTGGACGCGGCTCGAAAAGTTGGTCAGGTGTCCGGGGTCCGATTTGGAGCGAGTTAGCCCTCATCCCCCGTCTTGGCCGGTTTCCTTTGGGCTTGGCCAGCTCAGGCCCCCTCGCCGCCTCCAAGGTCTCACCACCTTTGCCGTTACGCGCTGATTACGCGGACAGCCTTGTCCAAGGCCAGGGTTTATGCATGTATCCGCTGCCTTGGGGAGCGAAGCCCCAGGATAGACATGGATGGTCTCCCGTGCCTTGGGGCACCAGCTCCCGAGGCGGTGGATATGTAGAACGCATAAAGTCATAGCCTCGAGCTCTAGGTTCTAGAATGCACTTCAATCAAGATGAGAATGCTATTGAATTTTGGGCGTGCCTGTGGTGCCAAGGAGCGCCCAGGGATTCGCCAGAGAGCCTTGCGAGACACACTTGTTGTTAGCTCCGCCCGCTGCTGCACAGCAGCCACGGGTTTGCTTTCTTCGCCTCGCTTTGCTGTAGCGGGCAATTTGTCGAATGATGCCTCATGGCCCTGAACAGACCAGCGCAATATCCTCGGCGTGTGCCTTCGACCAGATCAAGCTCCTTCTTCTCAGATCCTTTGCCGCGTGCGGTGCAAATATTGACCACGCTGACGAACCGACCCATATCCCCATGTCCATGCCCTCGCGGTCTGGACACCGAGGCGCGATCCGACGGAGCGGAAACCCATGCCAAGAAGCACCCTGCTGGCCTCCAGGGTGCCATGTGTTTGGGGGGGTTTCATGGTTTCGCTGCGGAAAGCATGACGGTCCCACACCAAAACTCAATAGACGTCCTGTGGTCTCAGGGTTGGGTGTCTTGCGGAAGGCTTCCTGTGGTCGAGCTCCTACTGTATCTCCACGTCCATGCCCTCGTGGTCTGGAGACCGAGGCGGGATCCCAAAGGCAGTTATACGCGAGCCCACGAAGGTGTTCCGCGACAGGCAGCCGCGCATCTTCGTGCTAGTTTTAAGTCGGGCCTGTCCCGCTACAGGTGGGACATTCCAAAACAATAGTCTCGGGACCGCTTTGCGTTAGTATTGCTTGAACTATTTTGAAGTCTGTTCTGGCTACTTTTTTCGATTTCGCCCAAAATCTGCCTTTCGATTTCGCCCAAAATCTGCCTGTAGGAGGACATGCCCGACCGAATGCTAACTATATCCCTGGTGTCGCGGCCGAGGAGTCCAAAAACCGCAAGGCTGCGGAAACGGAAACGGTTCCCGCACGCAAGCGGAACGATTCGATTTGTCCAAGTCGCCAGACTCGCCGGAGATTCTGGCGTTGCCAGTTTTCGCATCGGGCGTTTTCGCCCGGTTTCGGGCCCCGGGATCCTCACGGATCGATCGGGCACGAAAAATCATGCAGAACGATGGGGTCTGGAGCTCCGGCGATGATTTTTGTTGCGATGTTGCATTTTGTTTGGCAACATCTGATCTCAGGGTGATCCCTTCGCTAGGACCGTTTTTCATCCTTGGTCGTTCTTTGGCCCTGCACCGTGGCCAGGAGAACGGTTTCCATTCGCCGGGATTGCGCGCACACATCCGACACGAGATCCCCTGAGCACCTTGTCTGCAAGCGTTTGTACGTCGATGCACATACGCATGAATGCATATACATATATATATATATATATATATATCTCTTATTTTTTATTATTAGTATTATCAGTCTTATTATTATTGTTATATATACAGATCTGAGCATATGCATGTATGTATGTATGTACGTACGTACGTTTGTATGTATGTAGGTATGTATGTGCATATATCTATATATATATATAGATAGATATACACATATATCTATGTATCTCCGTAAGGGCTTCGCCCCCTGCCGCTGGCCCCCTCTCTCGAAGAATGAGCCATGGAGAGCGAAGTCATGAGGCGTTGGCTTTGCCGTGAAGCAGTGTCGAGACCTATTTGTTTTTCGACCCTGACCCTGCCGATATGCGTGAGGGGTTCCGCCGAATTTCAGAAATGTCGCAAATCCCTTCTGCGTGAGGGGTGCCACCGAATTTCAGAAATGTTTCAAATCACATGTGTTTTTGGACCCTGACCCCGCCGATCTGCGTGAGGGGTGCCATCGGATTTCAGAAATGTGGCAAATCCTCTGTGTTTTTGGACCCTGACCCCGCCGATCTGCGTGAGGGGTGCCACCGAATTTCAAAAAAGCAGAAAATCTGATTGCTTTTTGACCCTGACCCCGCCGACCTGCATGAGGGGTGTTAGGAAATTGCAGAAATGTGGCAAATCCTATTTGTTTTTGGGCCCTGACCCCGCCGATCTGCGTGAGGGGTGTCAGGAAATTTCAGAGATGCGGTAAATCCTAAATTTTTTTGGGCCCTGACCCCGCCGATCTGCGTGAGGGGTGCCACCGAACGTGAAACATGCGGCAAATCTCATGTGTTTTTGGACCCTGACCCCGCCGATCTGCGTGAGGGGCGCCACCGAATTTAAGAAATGCGGCAAATCCTTTTTGTTTTTGGGCCCTCACCCCGCTGATCTGCGTGAGGGGTGCCACCGGATTTCAGAAATGTGGCAAATCCCTTGTGTGTTTTGGACCCTGACCCCGCCGATCTGCGTGAGGGGTGCCACCGAAATCCCTGGTGTTTTTGGACCCTGACCCCGCCGATCTGCGTGAGGGGTGTCAATTTTTACACTCCCAGGAATTCTGAGAACCCTCCCGGGGGACGCTAACCAGGGCAGTTTGCGACTCCCCCGCGCCGAAGAGGGCCCCGAGAGGGCCTCAAGAAGCAAAAATCAGCCCGTCCCCGTAGTAAAACGTAGATGTTCAGCATGCTCCCTTGCTTCGTCTTCGCAGTGCCCCAGACGCCCCCGAGGAGCCCCAAGACAGTACAAGAGAGACCTAAGAGGGCCCAAGACGGCCCAAAAGGGTCGTCCTGTGGGGCTCACGGAACCCCCAAGACGGCCCGAGAGGCCCCAAAGCCAGCCCAGGAGGCCCCCAAGACGGCCTCAGGTGGGCCCAAGAGGGCCTCATTCGAAATCATGTTACTGGAAGCCTCTCCGGGAACATGATTCCTGGTTCCCAGGACGCCCAAAGACAGCCCCCAGCGGCCCCGGACACGCCGAAGATGGCCTCAGGACGGCCGACGACGCCGCCAAAACGCCCCAGGAGCGCCTCCAAGGCCCCTCCCAAGGGCCCCAGGATCCGAAAATCATAAGTTTTCCAATGGTTTTTGAAGCATTCTTGCGCTCTCCCATGTTCCGCCTCCCCAGGGTCCCAGACCGCGTCAGAGGCCCTTCAGATCGCTCCAAGACGGCCGAAGAGGCTCCCAAGAAAGCCCAGAGACGGCCCAGGAGGCTCCCCAGAAAAGTCAAGAGGGCCTCGAGAGCGCCCCGAGAGAGCCGCAAGAGCGACCCAAGAGGGCCCGAAGAGCGCGACATTTCGAGGTCTCCGGCCTGAGAGGCTCTTAGGACTCGCCCGGAGGCCATCAAGAGGCTTCCAAGAAGCTCCGTGAGGCTCCCAAGAGGCCCCCCGGAAGCCCCAATAGGCTCCCAAGGGACCCCAGGGAAGCCCCCTGCGGGACCCCAAGACACTTCGGTGAATCGTATTTCCCAGATAGCTTTCCGGGAACATGATTCTTCGGGCTTCCGCCCACCGCCCCAACCATGTTTCCAATAGGCTTGCGATAACGCCAAAAGGCGCCCCTCGGTAAGCCCCCAGAGGCCCTCCTCTTAGAGAGCCGAACAAATCATGCTCCCAGTAAGCTTCCCTCGGAGTAGGCCCGGGGGGGGGGGCGGCCGCTGCCTGTTCCCTCCATCGGTGCCCACCAGGGGTTGCGGGGGGGGGGGTCCAGAGCTCTCGAGGCGGCCCGAGCCCGCCCCGAAGGAGGCCACGACAGGCTAAGGGGGTCCCGAGAGGACCCAAGACGGTCCCACGAGGCCCCGAAGACGCCCAACATGCCCTCAAGACAGACGACGAGGACTCCAACACGCTCCAGGACGGACTCAAGAGGCTCCCCAAAAGGGCCCTGGAAGGCAATATTCAATCGTTTTCCGAGTGTTTGGGATTTGGGCGTTCTCGCTTTTCCCGCTTTCCAGCGCTCCCTCACGGCCTCGGAGGACTTTCAGATCGCTCCAAGAAGGCCCACGAGGCCCCGACGAGGGCCCCAAGACGGCCCAGGATGCGCCCCAGACAACCCAAGTGTGCCCCAAGAGCGCGCCAAGAGAAGGCCCAGAGGGGTACCGAGGTGGCCCGGGCCCGCCCCGAAGTAGGCCACGACAGGCTTATGGAGGTCCCGAGAGGGCCCTAGACGGTCCCAAGAGGCCCAGGGGACGCCCAAGCTGCCCTCAAGACGGCCGACGAGGACTCGAACACGCTCCAGCACGGACTCAAGGGGCTCCCCAAGAGGGCCTTGGGAGGCAAGATTCACTAATTTTCCGATGGTTTTTAAAGGATTTAGGCGTTCTCGCGTTCCCCGCTTCCCAGCGCTCCCTCACGGCCTCGCTCGGAGGCCCTTCAGATCGCTCCAGGACGGGCCAGGAGGCCCCGAAGAGGGCCCCAAGACGGCCCAGGAGGCTCCCCAGACAACCCAACTGTGCCCCAAGAGTTCCCCAAGAGAGGGCCCAGAGTGGGACCGCCAACCGATATTTCGAGGTCTCTGGCCCTCGAGGCTGCCTGTAGGCCCCCGGAGGCCACCAAGAGGCTCCCACGAAGCCCCGTGAGGCGCCCAAGAGGCCTCCAGGAAGCCCCAAGAGACCCGGAAGGGGCTCCCAGGCAACGCCCAAGAGGCCCCCCAACACACCCCAAGAAACCATGTCCCCAGAAAACCTTCCAGGGACATGGTTCATCATGGGCCCGAGAGTTCCCGGAGGCCCCCAAGGAGCCCCCAGGGAACGCCCAAGAGACCCCCCAGCATACCCCAGCAAACCATGTCCCCAGAAAGCCTTCCGGGGACATGGTTCATCAGGGGCCCGCGAGTCTCCGAAGGCTTCGAAGTACCATCATGCTACAGGAGAGCTGTCTGGGAAGTCGATTGGGAACATGACTGATCGCCTTCTCGCGGCCCTCCGCAGATCGTTTCGCACAAAGTTGCCCCAAGTGCCCTCTTGAATCGACGACGACGAAACGACGAAGACGACGACGACGACGACGACGACGACGACGACGACGACGACGACGACGACGACGACGACGACGACGACGACGACGACGACGACGGCGCGCCCCAATAGGCGGCGACGACATTACGACGACGACGACGACGACGACGACGACGACGACGACGACGACGACGACGACGACGACGACGACGACGACGACGGCACGCCCCAACAGGCTCCCCAAGACGCCCCAGACCCATGCTCCCAGAATGCCTTCTGGGAACCCGATTCACACGGCCTCCGCCCCCCTACACAACCACTTTCCTCGAAGGCCTTTCGGAATGCAGATTGGCATGCGTGGACTGTGGTCCACTACTTCAGCGGAGCAGCAGTGAATTCGTCAAGGCCTGGGGCCTGCTAGAACCCGATGTGCTCCCACCCAGCGCACCTCAGTGCTTCGATTCCCGCCTGTCGTTCCGCCCATTCTCACATCATCACCCTTTCTTGTCCCTCATCCTGCTTCTCCTCATCGCC